CCCCCCAGTCCCCTCCCAGTCCCCCCAGTCCCTCTCCCGCCGTGTCCCGGTTCCGTCCCCCGCCCCCTCCCGGTGTCCCCACCCCCTCCCCCGCCGCCCCGGCCGCCATTTCCTGCCAAGATGGCGCCGGTGCCGCTCCCCGGTGCCGCTCCCCGGTGCCGCCGCCCCCCCCCCGGCGCCGCCTCCCCCTCATGAGGGCGGCCCGGCCGCCATTACCTGCAGCTCGGCCCTCTCCGCTTCCCAGCGCCCTTTCTCCGCCTCGAACCGCGCCCACTCGTGCTGGATGAAGTGCAGGATGCCCGGCAGGCTCAGCCCGGTTCGTGCCGGGGGTTCGGTAGCGGCGGAGGCGGCGGAGGAGGGGGGAGCCGGTGGAGCCGGGGCCCGCAGCGGCGGAGCCCGCTCGGCCGCCATGGCGGCTGCCACAAAGGGAGCCAATGGAGGCGGCGGCTTCCTGCCAGAAACGGAGCCGGAAGTGGGCGTGGCGAGGGGCGGGGTCTATGAGGGAAAGGGGGCGTGGTTTGAGTGAGGGGGCGTGGCCAAAGGGAGGCGCTGTTGCCGTGGCAACGGGAGGGTTGTGGGGGGGTTAGGGAATTTTTTGCGGATTTCAGGGAATTTTTGGGGATTTTCGGGAATTTTTGGGGATTTTAGGGGATTTGGGGGGGGTTTAGGGAATTTTTTTGGATTTTGGGGAATTTTTGGGGGGTTTTGGGGGATTTTTGGGGGGTTTTAGGGAATTTTTGGGGGGATTTTTGGGGTTTTTAGGGAATTTTTGGGAGGTTTTAGGGAATTTTTGAGGGGATTTTTGGGATTTTTTTAGGGAATTTTTGGGAGGTTTTCGGGAATTTTTGAGGGGATTTTTTGGGGTGTTTATAGCAAATTTTGGGGAGGATTTTTCGGGTGTTTCTAGCAAATTTTGAAGGGATTTTTTGGGTGCTTACAGGAGATTTTTGAGGCCCCTACAGGATTTGGGAAAACTTTTGGCTCATCCCCAGAAGATTTTTGGGATCCAGAGAACCCCATAACCCCTGAGGGCATCGTTTAATCCCCTTATTAATCACTATTAATTAATAATCACCTCATTAACATCCCCACAGCGCCACCTCGTGGAGAAGCTCCGCCAGCGCCACCCCCTTCCATTAACCCCCATCAAACCAATTAACAACGCCGAGTTCATCAGTTAATTAACGGCTTAATTAATTAATTAATGAGTTAATGAGTTAATTAACGGGTTAATTAGTTAATTAACCATGAGGATCACCCCTTGCCAGGCCGCTCTGGCCGTCGCCATCGCCTTCAACATCCTCCTCCTCCTCTGCTCCCTCCTGGCCCCTCCCTGCCGCCACCACCCCCGGGGTGTCCCCAGGGGTGTCCCCAGGGGTGTCCCCAATGTCCCCAGGGGTGTCCCCAATGTCCCCAGGGGTGTCCCCAGGGTCCCTGGGGGTGTCCCTGAAGTCCCCAGGGGTGTCCCATGGGGTGTCCCCAGAGGTGTCCCCAGTGTCCTCGAGGGTGTCCCTGGTGTCCCCGGGGGTGTCCCTGATGTCCCCAATGTCCCCAGGGGTGTCCCCAGGGGTGTCCCTGATGTCCCCAATGTCCCCAGGGGTGTCCCCAGGGGTGTCCCTGATGTCCCCAATGTCCCCAGGGATGTCCCTGGTGTCCCCGATGTCCTTGAGGGTGTCCCTGATGTCCCTGGGGGTGTCCCCGAGGGTATCCCCGACGTCCCCGGGGGTGTCCCCGACGTCCCCGAGTCTGTCCCCGACGTCCCCGAGTCTGTCCCCGACATCACCGTCATCCTCCGCGACTTCGACGGTCCCGACCACGACGTCGCCGCCACCTCCCGTTCCTTCGCCGGCGTGGCCGGCGTCCCCGTCCTGGTGGCCACCGAGGTGTCCCCGGACCCGCCCGTGCCACCCGCGGCCGGCGTCACCGTGCTGTCCCTGCGGCCGGAGCCTCACCGGCCACCCCCGCGGCCGGAGCTGGCCGTCAGGACCCGCCACGTGGCTCTGGTGCCGGACGGCGCCCGAGCCGCGCCGGCGCTGCTGCGGCGCATGAGGAACGTTCTGGAAGCCTCCTCTGATGGCGCCGTCAGGGTGGTGGCGGCGGCCGTGGGGCGGCGGCGGCGGCCGCGGTGTTTGGAGGCCGAGGTGGACATCAGGGCGTGGACGGTGCGGTACGGCTACGCTGAGGGGGGGAGTGACGGCGGGAGTGACCGCGGGAATGAACGATGGAGTGACCGCGGGAATGACCTCGGGAGTGACCACGGGAGTGACCACGGGAATGAACAATGGAATTATCAGAGGAGTGACCACGGGAGTGACCACGGGAATGACCACGGGAATGACCACGGGAATGAACAATGGAATGACCACGGGAATGAACAATGGAATGACCACGGGAATGAACAATGGAGTGACCACGGGAATGACCACGGGAATGAACAATGGAATGACCAATGGAATGACCACGGGAATGACCACGGGAATGACCACAGGAATGACCATCAGAGTGACCATCAGAACAACCAGTGGAACGACCACCAGAATGACCCCAGGAATGACCAGAGGGATGAACAATGGAACGACCACAGGAATGACCATGGGAATGACCACCAGAATGACCATCAGAACAACCAGACGACTGACCACCAGAACGACCACAGGAACGACCAGCAGAATGACCGCGGGACTGACCAACACCCTGACCAACAGCCTGCCCACCGCAGCGCCCTCTGCGGTGCCCTGGACGGAGCCCCGCTCGTTCTCCTCCTCCGCACTCGCGACCTCTTCTCCCTCCCCTTCCCGCTGACCCGTCCTGTGGTCACTTCTCTGTCCCTCCAGGCCTCCCTCCGCGGCTGGCGCTTCCTCCTGCTGCCGGACGCTTTCCCCTCGGCCTCTCTCCCCCCTCCCTCCCCTCACTCCCTCTGGAAAACCCAAAAATCCCTGGAAAAACAACACCGGGACCTCCTGGATCGATTCGGCCTCAAGCTCGAGGTGCTGCCGGACGGCCGCCAGCGCTGGCACGGCTGCACCAAGACCACCCCGCGTTGTTTCGGCACCATCCGCTCCCAAACCCCCTCGTACCTGCTGGCCGGCCGCTGGACGCCGCCCTGCTGCCTCCGCGCTCTCCGCTTGACCGCCCGCCACGTCCTGGCTCAGCTGGACGCGGCCGGAGTCCGCCACTGGCTGGAGGGGGGTTCCCTCCTCGGCGCCGTCCGCTCGGGCGACGTCATCCCGTGGGATTACGACGTCGACGTCGGGTTCTACCGCCAGGACATCCCCAAGTGCCGCTGGCTGGCGGCCGTGGCGGCCACCGGCCGAGCCCTGGAGGACCCCCAGGGCTTCCTTTGGGAGAAAGCGGCCGAGGGGGAGTTTTTCCGCGTCCATTTCAGCCGCTCCAACCGGCTCCACGTGGATTTGTGGCCCTTCTACCCCCGGCAGGGCGGGGTGATGACCAAGGACACCTGGTTGGGTCACGGGCAGGACGTGGAGTTCCCCGAGAGGTTTCTGGTGCCGCTGGGCGCCGTGGCTTTCGCCGGAGTCGTGGCCAAAGCCCCCAACGACCCCCGGGCCTTCCTGGAGTTCAAATTCGGGCCCGGGGTCATCGAGAACCCCGAGTATCCCAACCCCGAGGTTCGCAGGTTGGCGCAGGATGTGGGAAATAAAAGCTCTGGGTGATGGAGTTGTGGCTGGAGTCACCTTTGGGGTGTTTGGGGTCACTTTTGGGGTGTCTGGAGTCACTTTTGGGGTGTTTGGGGTCACCTTTGGGGTGTCTGGAGTCACCTTTGGGGTGTTTGGGGTCACTTTTGGGGTGTCTGGAGTCACTTTTGGGGTGTTTGGGGTCACCTTTGGGGTGTCTGGAGTCACCTTTGGGGTGTTTGGGGTCACTTTTGGGGTGTCTGGAGTCACTTTTGGGGTGTTTGGGGTCACCTTTGGGGTGTCTGGAGTCACCTTTGGGGTGTTTGGGGTCACTTTTGGGGTGTCTGGAGTCACTTTTGGGGTGTTTGGGGTCACCTTTGGGGTGTCTGGAGTCACCTTTGGGGTGTTTGGGGTCACTTTTGGGGTGTCTGGAGTCACTTTTGGGGTGTTTGGGGTCACCTTTGGGGTGTCTGGAGTCACCTTTGGGGTGTTTGGGGTCACTTTTGGGGTGTCTGGAGTCACTTTTGGGGTGTTTGGGGTCACCTTTGGGGTGTCTGGAGTCACCTTTGGGGTGTTTGGGGTCACTTTTGGGGTGTCTGGAGTCACTTTTGGGGTGTTTGGGGTCACCTTTGGGGTGTCTGGAGTCACCTTTGGGGTGTTTTGAGTCACTTTAGGGGTCCCTGTGTCACCTTTGGGGTCCCTGTGCCACCTTTTCCCCCCCATATTTCCTCCATTTTTCCCAATTTTCCTACATTTTCCCCCAATTTTCCAAATTTTTTCCTCCATTTTCCCAATTTCCCTCATTTTCTCCTCAATTTTCCCTCAAATTTTCCCATTTTTCCCTCAATTTTCCCCATTTTTCCCTCAATTTTCCCCATTTTTCCCTCAATTTTCCCCATTTTTTCCTCAATTTTCCCCATTTTTTCCCAATTTTTCCCAGTTTTCCCTCAATTTTTCCCATTTTCCCCTCAATTTTCCCCATTTTTTCCCAATTTTCCCCATTTTCCCCTCAGTTTTCCCCATTTTTTCCCAATTTTCCCCATTTTTCCCTCAATTTTCCCCATTTTCCCCTCAATTTTCCCCATTTTTTCCCAATTTTTCCCAGTTTTTCCCTCAATTTTCCCCATTTTTCCCTCAATTTTCCCCATTTTCCCCTCAATTTTCCCCATTTTTTCCCAATTTTTCCCAGTTTTTCCCAATTTTCCCCATTTTTTCCCAATTTTCCCCATTTTTTTCCCAATTTTTCCCATTTTTCCCCATTTTCCCCATCCCTATTTTTTTTTTAAAGGATCTCTTGCAATCCCACCCCAAACCCCCCCAAATTCCCCCCAAAAAATCCACTCGGAATTGCGAAATTAAGAATTTTTATAACAAATCCTCGGAGAGATGAAGAATTCCAGCTTTTTTTTGTGGTTTTTTTTCTTTTTTTTGGTTTCTTTTGGGAATCTCAGGATCCTGAGAGAATTCCCAGCTGGATTCCGGAAAAAAAAAAGAAATTCCCGGGATTTTCTTTATTTTTTTTTGTTGTTATTTTGTCCTTTTTTTTTTTAAATTTTTTTACCAAAAAAAGTTTCGGATCCAACGCCGGGAAAACAGAAAAAAGAAGGAAAAACAAAAAAAAAATTCTTTGGAAAAATCCTCCCCCCCACAAAAAATTCCGAATGATCCCCAAAATAAAATTAAAATAAATTAATTTATATTAATTAAAAAAATTCTCCCCAAAAAACAATGAAAAGTCCCATGAAAATGAAATAAATGAATTTTATTAAAAAAATGGAATAAAATTTATTAAGGAATATAAAAGAATAAAAAATAAAAAAGAATGAAAAGAATAAGTAGAATAAGGAGTAAATAAATAATGATAAATAATTAATAACTAATTAAATAAATCTTTTAAAAGTTCAAATAAAAATTAAATTAAGACATAAATTTAACTAAAAATTAAATAAAAACGAATGAAAATAAATAAACCTTTTAAAAATTCAAATAAAACTTAAGAAATAAATTTTATAAAAAATTAAATAGAAATAAGAAATAGAAAACTTTTAAATGTTCAAATAAAAATTAATAAATTTTATAAGAAATTTAAGAATATAAATAAATAATAAAAAGAAAGAAATCTTTTAAAAATTCAAATAAAAATTAAAAAATAAAATTTATAAGTAATTAAATAAAAAATAAAAATAAGAAAATATTTTAAAAATTCTGATAAAAGTGAAATAAAAAAAATATAAAACTCCCATAAAGACTAAATAAAAAAAAAACAAATTTTATTTAAAAATTAAATTTATTTAAAAATTTAATAAATTAACCTTAAAAAATAAATCAAATAAATAAATTAAATTAATCAAGAAAGAACCAATAAAGAATTAAATTAATAACTAAATAAATCTATTAATAAATATTTTTTTTAAAAAAAATAAACTCAAATAAAAAGTTTAAAAAATAAAATAAAAATAAATATAAAATAAATAGAAAATAAAAATAAATGTAAAATAAATATAAAATAAAAATTAGTGTAAAATAAATAAAAAATAAAAATAAATGTAAAATAAATATAAAATAAAAATAAATGTAAAATAAATATAAAATAAAAATAAATGTAAAATAAATATAAAATAAAAATAAATGTAAAATAAATATAAAATAAAAATAAAAAGAAAATAAAAATAAATATAAAATAAAACTCAAATAAAAATTAAAAATAAAATAAAAAAATAAAAATAAAAATAAAAATCCCATTTTGGGATTCACAAACTCCAGGAGAGGGGAGGAAGATCCAAAATTTCCCAAAGGAAAAAATTCCCAAAGAAAAAAAATTCCCGAAGAAAAAAAATTCCCAAAGAAAAAAAATTCCCGAAGAAAAAAAATCCCCGAAGGAAAAAATTCCCGAAGGAAAAAATTCCCGATGAAAAAATTCCCGAAGAAAAAAAATTCCCAAAGAAAAAAAATTCCCGAAGAGAAAAAATTCCCGAAGGAAAAAATTCCCGAAGGAAAAAATTCCCGAAGGTTTTCCGTGGACAAGGATTTTAAAAAAATATCTTTGAAACCATCTGAGCTTAAAAATAGACGCGAGTGAAGCTTAAAATCCCACCGGAGACGCCGGGAGAGCTCCGGACGAGTCCCTGGAGCGGCTCCGGAGCTTCCCCCTGGTTCTGGATGCTTCTGGAAGCCTTGGGCTGGATCCAGAGGGGTCCTGGGAGCGGTTCCGGAGGTTCTGGAGAAGTTCCGGAGGTTCTGGAGGCCCTGGGGTGGATCCAGAGAGATCCTGGGAGAAGTTCCGGAGGTTCCAGATGGTTCTGGATGGTTCTGGAGGCCTTGGGATGGATCCAGAGGGGTCCTGGGAGCGGTTCCGGAGGTTCCTGATGGTTCTGGAGACGTTCCGGAGGTTCTGGAGGCCTTGGGATGGATCCAGAGGGGTCTTGGGAGCAGCTCTGGATGGTTCTGGAGAAGTTCCGGAGGTTCTGGAGGCCCTGGGGTGGATCCAGAGAGGTCCTGGGAGAAGTTCTGGAGCTTCCCCCTGGTTCTGGAAGCCTTGGGGTGGATCCAGAGGGGTCCTGGGAGCGGTTCCGGAGGTTCTGGAGAAGTTCCGGAGGTTCTGGAGGCCCTGGGGTGGATCCAGAGAGGTCCTGGGAGAAGTTCCGGAGGTTCCAGATGGTTCTGGATGGTTCTGGAAGCCTTGGGATGGATCCAGAAGGGTCCTGGGAGCAGTTCCGGAGGTTCCCGATGGTTCTGGAGAAGTTCCGGAGGTTCTGGAGGCCTTGGGGTGGATCCAGAGGGGTCCCAGGAGACGCTCTGGATGGTTCTGGAGCGGTTCCGGAGGTTCCAGAGTGGTTCCGGATG